CTTTCAGAGTTGAAGTAGGTGGGTTGGAGCAGGAAAACACAGTAGAATGTGCAGGGCAGGGGTGCTCAGGACCAGGCTTGGGAGCTAGGGGTCTGCAGCGTGAGTCAATAGTCAGAAACAACCCAAATATTTGTCAGATGCTTAAAGTTAGATTGATCTCACAATTAGTGTTATGTACTAGACCAAAGGTGTACTTACGGTGTATGTTAACTGATGGTCTAATATAAAAGCCTTATTATCCAGGCTTTGAATCCAGTTTCCAGTCCAGGATTTTGTTATCACTGGTGGGTGCGGCACTTGGTAGTCAATCAGTACTATCAACAGTTCCGTTGACTGCCAGTGATAACAAACTGCAGGACTGTAAACTGGATTTAGGGTCTGGATTTGAGGACCTCTAGCCTAATACATAATGAGATCAGTTGAACATCTGTCGTGTCTGAAATTTGGCTGTTACCTGAGTTTTGACTCACCTTTACAACTGTGACAGTCAAACTTGTCCGCAGATTACGCTAAAACGATGTAGAATTAAAGTACACCTAGTTTCATAAGTGTGTGCACAGAACTCCCCAACTTCATTTGCGGAAAAGGGAAAAAAAAGAAAACGCAGTGTAATAAACACAAGCACCCTCTGCGATTTCCCAAAAAACAGTGAGCCTAATCAAGCCATTTGTGTGCTCATTGGAAATGGCTGTGATTATCCCTGCACCCATAGTGCATGCACACGTTGCTGTGTAATCAGACATTAGGTGGAAGAGGGTGGGGGGGTGGCAGAAATGCACCTGAACACAACACCACCTGTATCCTCCAGGTAAATGAGGAGCAGGAGGTGAGGAGGAGGCGTTTTGCCGTGCGCAAAGTCTCTGAGGAGAGCCTCTCAGCTGTCAGGAGGAACAAGTATAATTAGCCAGGAGAGACCGCATGACGGAAACTTAAGCCGGAGCTCAGGATGGGGCTGGAAAGCCTTATTCACTGTATGTGCTCCTCTCTCTCTCGGTTTCTCTCTCTCGCTCTCTCTCTCTCGCTCTCTCTCTCTCTCTCTCTATATATATATATACTATATATATATATATATATATATATATATATATATATATATATATATATATATATATATATATATATATATATATATGCGCATTCTCCCCTTCACTCTCTCATTTTCACATACTCTCTGCCGTCTCTCTCTCTCGCTCTCGCTCTGTTTTGCATGCTCTCTCTCTACCCCTTTCTCTCTCTTTCGCTCTTTCTTGTTCTCTTGCACTCCTTCTTGCTCTCTCTGTCTCTGCCCCAGTCTCCCTGCTCTCTTTCACTCTCTCATTCTCTCTCGCTCACTCTCTGCATTGGTCATTTTCTTACACTCTTTCTTACTCTATCTCTAACCCTCTCCTTCTCCGCCTGCTCTCTCTATCTCTAAGCCCTCTCTTGTGCTCTTTCTCTTTTACGTTGCTTCTCTTTGTCTGTTTTGCTCTTTCTCTCTCTCTCTCTTTCTCTGCCCCCGCTGTCTTTTGCTCTCTCATATTCTCTCTTTCTCCTTCCCGCTCCCTCTCACTCTCTCTCTCTCTCTCACTCACTCTGTGCATGTTGTGCCGTGTCTCACATATATTTTCTCTCACGTATATTCTCTCTGTGTCTCTCTCTCTCTCTTTCTCTTCCTTTTTTCTCTCTCTCTCTCTCTCTCTCTCTCTCTCTCTCCCATTGCTCACTCTCACTATCTCGAGATGCCTGTTGTATTTGCATTGGCGTGGCAGGTGTCCAGGGAAGACTGGAGAAGCTCACGTGTGACGAACACAAACACTTTCTCGTGGAGACGTGATGCTTGTCTCTCCTCCAGCAGAGCGGTGTAGGCTGATTGATGAATCATGTCTATTCTGACTGTGTAATAAACGGTTAGCTGAATTTATAATTTCGGTCAGACGGCAGCCGTTTTCGCACGAGAGGTTGAAAAAGCACAGGCCGGAGCGTGAGACCTGGACAATTAATTATTAACCGCCTTTATTACTGAGGCCGCCACGACACTCTGCATTCATTGTGTCACTGTGTTGGAAACACATGAAGGAGCTCGGGTCAGTTCACACAGTTTATGTAAGCAGAGTAATCCTACTTACATAAAGTAAATTATTACAGAAATACTATTACTATTATTCAGTCTCAGCTGCATCTTCTGACGGATCGCTGTCCACAACATCTGTTGCTTTCCGCCAGTGGTGGAGACAAATCGTCTATATCTGTTTTTGCTGTCACACAGCAGTATTGATTTGTAGTTTAAATGATGTTGATAAATAATGAGCATTATGTAATGATAAAGTCATATTCTTCAAAATAACCCAGGCTTATTTGGTGGAAATGACACACATCCTACAACATTGTGAAATGTGATGTTAGCAGTTTTTTGTGGGGTAGTAGAGTGTTTGAGTACTTTGATCGGGGGTACACAGTTCCGGTCCTGGAGGGCCGGTGTCCAGCACAGTTTGGTGATTTGCCTGGTCAGACACACCTGATCACACTCATCTGTTAATTGGTAGGTTTAGTGGGTGTGTTTGAGTAGGGGAACTGCCAAACTGTGCACAACACCAGCCCTTCAGGACCGGAGTTGTGTACCCCTGCCTTTGAGCATGACAGAATACATTTACATGGTTCCCACACATCCTGGAAAACCTGGAAGTTTAAAGACGAGTTTTCCAGTCAAAGAAAATTGATAAGATGTCCTGGGAAAGTGTGAAGTTGGGTCATTAAGCCTCAAGATTGCATATTTCTAGCAGTCCATTCATACTTGGTGTGATTTGGAATACTACAGTGTCAAATGTGGACAGATGGACGCAGCGTTGGGATGCCTGACAGAGTGAGGTTGTATTAACATGTTCCAGCTTCTTGCCGTGTGTAACTTGCGATTAAATGATGGTTGGTGATATCAGTAAGACATTGTTAGAGTTCAGTTGTGCACGTCTAGTGTAAAGCTGTGTTCGCATGTTTGCAGTAAACGGATGACGATAAAAAGGATGTTCCATTATTTTTAACAGAGCTACGCTGGAAAGTTCTGCCACCACAAACGGCAACAGTCCACGGCAGTGAGCAGAATGCTCCTTCAAGAATTTTTTTCAACTTTTGATGTTGACCACAGCAGTGGAATAAACCAAATGTTTGATTTTGTTGGAAGCAGACTTGCCCACCTTGGGAAAATCCATCCATCATCTAAACCGCTTATCCGTCTGGGTTGCGGTGGGGTGCTGGAGCCTATCCCAGCTGTCGTTGGGCAGAAGGCAGGATACACTCTGGACAGGTCACCAGTCCATCACAGGGCAGACAGACAGACACAGTCACACACACTCACACCTAGGGGCAATTTAGCACATCCACTCAGCCTGACTGCATGTTTTTGGACTGTGGGAGGAAACCGGAGTACCCGGAGGAAACCCACGCAGACACGGGGAGAACAGGCAAACACAGAAACGACCCTGGTCACCCAGCCGGGAATCGAACCCAGGCCCTTCTTGCTGTGAGGCGACAGTGCTAACCACCGTGCCGCCCACCTTGGGAAAATATTTAACGTAAACAACATTAGCCTAATGTTTTGTAATTTGCAAGCTAGCTTGCTTGTTCAGCCATTTAATATAAATTGTGGAAAATACATGGAAAAAATGTTTTCAAAACTGGAGTTTTAACTGGCAAAATTAATATATATATATATGTATATGTATAATTAGAAAGAGAGAGTGACAGAGAAAATGGGACTCGTAACAACCGTGCAAGACCTGGTAGACCACCAAATCTGTCCCCCTCAGAGAAACAGCACTTAAATCTTTTCATCTTTCGAGAAATCAAGCTTTGCTCTTACTTCAGATCTGAAGACATCCGCAGGTGTTTCTGTGCATCCTTCCAGGAGGAGAGGACAACTCAACACTATGGATCTGGATGCATGTGTAGCTGTCAAGAAGCCCTTACTGAGAAGAGAAAATAGACAAACAAATTACTGTAACACTGAAACTGGACATTGGAGATGTGGAGGGTTTTATGCACTGATGAGTCTGAGTTTGTAATAGGAATTATTTGGATCTTGAGAAGCAGGGAATGCAGCCAACATCTAAGAGTGAACTTTGGAGGTGTGGAAAAGTATCCCTGCAGATTTCTTTGGAAAAGTGAAAGCAAGTCTCATGATAAGAATGGAAGCTACAAGAAAGGCAAACAGTGGACACCTTAAACACTGGGAAAAAAACTGTTATTATATTTAGCTGTAATTTTCTGTTAAACACGTTTTCGGCCTTTTTTTATAATATATAAGAAAAATATTGTGATGTGAGTTTTATCAGTACTGCCTGGTGCTACTTTCCACACAGGTTTCATACCTCTAGCCTGTTGAATTCTCTCTCTCTCTCATCCTACATGAACATGCTGAAATATTTGATGATGGATTCTGAGCTTATTATCATAAAGTAATGGGTGAGTCACAGCGTCCTGTATGCTGGAGTGGCACAGCTGGGCCAGGTGTCTCCGTATCAGTACGTCACAGATGCGGCGATTCTTCTGGGCTTGAGCAGATGGATGCAGATAGATAAGCATTCTTTCAGCTTGACGCGTTCTATTCTTTTGTCCTTTTCACACGTATTTACGTTGAGGCTTTGAGTTCAGTCAGGAGAAGGCGTGGGAAGTGTAGGATTAAAAATTGATCGTCATGTTTGCCCAATTTGAATTTTGGATGCAAACCATTTCTCCCATGCTTGTTTTTAGTAAAAACGCTTTAATGATCTGGCATGGTATCTACAGGTTTATGCAGGATGATTTAGATATGGTTTCCTCTGTATTTCTTATTTTGGAACAAAATGAATTGAATTCTTTTAAATGTATATTTATATTGTTCAGAAGTGCGGTGTACTAAGATAAGTAGGGCATTATGCAAATAAAAGCACTGCTAGTATAAATGAGGTGGTTAAAGCTGTACTGTAGCCAGGATCTGTACTGGTCTGCCAGTTCTCCCATTATCACCCACTCATGCATCGAGATGGAGTAGAACTGTATTTAGGCTGTTTTATTCACTTTGTTTGGAGGGGGTGTATGGCATTATTTTCCAGGTTCATATCATGCCTGTCATTTACGCCCACTGTACAATTCGTTGACTGTCTGCTTCTTTTTCTCCCTCTTTCACCTCCCTCCTCTTCTCCTAAAGGCGCCATGCAAACCCCAGAGGCAGGCGCTGACTCTGCGTCTTCGGTGCCCCTCCAGACCAGCGTGCCTGTGCAGCCTGCTGTCACTGCCCAGCAGGTGGCCTCTCAGGTGCCCGTCCAGCAACAGGTGAGCCAGTCTCTGGAGCCCCCGTCGCCACAGCTGCTACTATTGATGTTGACCTGAGCATGCTGTGTGTGCATTTTAGCCTAAAATCGAATGAATTTAAGGCATTAAATGACTGACGGGCTGTCTGATGTATTTATCCACAACTTCTTCCATGTTGTCTGGAATTTCTAAAATTGTTCACAGTGGTGGAGTGAGGAACCAAATGTTCAAGGCGTTTAATGCCTCTAAAAGTCCCCTCACAGAAAGTTATTACATTAAATGCTTACAAATATTCTGCCTGATGCCTGAGACATTGATTCACAGTAGTTTTGTGGTAAAGTTTTAGTATAAAACATATTTGTTTACCGCTATTTCACCATTTTGGGTGGCTAAATAAATAGCTATATTTGCAATATAGCTGTAATAGCTACATGAAAACTATTGGGATTCCCCTTTGACCACATTTTGCTGTCTGAGTTGATTACGATGCATGCAAAATGGTTTGCATCATTGTGTTAATTCTGTTGGGCAAGTGGTTTTACAGCTGGCTGAAAAGGGTTCTATATAGCACCATAAAGGGTTCTTCTGTTGTTACGATGTCAAGTCTGTAACAATAGAAGAACCCTCTTTGGTTCTTTATAGAAACCTTTTTAAAAAAGGTTCTGTATAGAGCCATCTACAGCACATTCTTCAGCAATCTGAAGAACCCTCTAATAATATCTGTATAGAACCATTTTCTTTACTAAAGAACCCTTGAGGAACCATCTTTTTTAAGAGTGTACAGCATTGAGTGGAAAGCAAGGAGTGTTTCAGCCCAGACTGTTTTTTGAATGAGATGCAATGTAGGGCAGCCAATCAGAAAAGAGATCACTTACATATGTCAGTCTTAAATGCACAGTAACAAAAACAGCCTGTCTTATTTTAAGGGGGGGGAGAGGTTGGACTACAGTCATGTATAATAATGAATTAAGACTGGTTTTTGGTACATAAACCTACACAAACAGTACAAGTGGAACAGGAACAGGAAAAAAAAATAAATATAAGAATGTAATGTTGGATATAGTCTCTTAAAAATCATACATTTTGTTTGCCTAAACCTATAGATACCCTAGTGTTTACTAAAAGAATACACGTCCTCTGTCCTCTTCTCGCAGGCCCAGACTGTTCAACAGGTCCAGCATGTATATCCAGCACAGGTGCAGTATGTGGAGGAGAACAGCGGCGTCTACACCAATGGAACCATGTGAGTGTGTCTTTAGATGGAGAGAGATCAGTAACAGGGTTTGGAAACCATGTGGAAAACATAGTTCACATAAGGCTTTTTAACTTATTTGTTTATTCTAAAAAGTTTCCACGTTGGTATGCACATCCCCAGCATGTGGTAACATCTCACAATTTGTTTAGCCATCAAAGGGCTTGTGCGTAGTCCTTAACACGGTCTGCTTTAGAAATGGAAACAGCTTAGTAAGTTTGGAGAGTGTTTGTTAGTGTTAGCAAGCTCAAGCAAATACGTTAGCAAAACTGATAACGAGCTGTTGTTTAGCACCCAGCTCTGTTGTGTATTTGGTTGCCTAGCAACAAAAGAGACACAAATGTGGCCACATTTGGCTGAAGCGACCTGCAGCGAGGTTCATTACTTTTTCAGCTTTTTCGGAGAGTGAAAGCCTCTCAGCTACCTCGAACCTCTCAGCTGCCTCGTGGGCCACTTACCCCAGTCATGTCATAGAAACCTGTCGCTTGCAGGCTCCTTGCTTTTGATGGCACTTCAGCCCCAGTGGGGGTGTGAATTGTGTGCGGTCACCTGACTGTGACCACAAGTATCGATAAGTGGCCCTGAGAAAGAAGTCATCCTCTCGCTCTGCTGGGCTCAAGAGCCGAAGAGCACTCCACTAACCTCTCCTGCTTGTCGGGGGCGGCTACACGGGCATTAGCGAAGGCCATGCCGCAGTTACATGGGCTGTACAGTGAAACGCTTTCACTAAATGACCCGTCTGGTCATCTGTCCCTGCTCTGCTCTGCGTAAGACTGATCAGTGGCTCCTCGAAGTTTGCTTGCCATATGAAACAAGTCTTTTATGTATGGAACATTGACGCTGAGCAAGTGCCATATGTCATATTTATTGTACGCTGAAGAAAATGGTTGTCATCATATCAGATGAAAGAACATGTTGCTGAATGACTTCTTTGCACAATTATAATTATATCATGCTTCTTTTTCTGTATGCACTTAAAAAAAGCAGGTTCAAACAAAGCTCCTGGTAGATGAGAAGTCACGTTGTTTCAAACCAATTAGTTATTTTTTTTGTTGTTTTTTTTTCCTTCACTGTTATATTTCTGCAGACTAAAGATAAACGTTTAACACAGCTGTCAGAAGAATTATTCCTGTGACAATAATGGGACTGTTTCTCCTTTCTTTTATACCGATTTCAAAACAGCCAGTTTTCTTGTACTTCACAACACGATGGAGTGCAAATTTTAATCGTTATCGCAGTACTTCTTTCTAATTAGATAGCTGGGACAGTGTGTGAGCTGCAAATAAAAAATGCTGTGATTTGTAAATCCTCTTTTACCTATATTTAAGCAAAACCGTACAGAGACTAGATACTCATTGTTTTACCTTATCAACTTCATTGTTCTTTGTAAATATGATTAAAAATTGATGTCTGCAACTCGTTCCAATAAAGTTGGAAATGGAGGAAGGACTGGAAACTTGTGAAATGTTAGAACATCTTAAATAGGTGATACAATCATGTTTGGGTAGAAAATGAGTGTCCAGGACAGGCGTAGTCCTTTATGCGCAAGGATGGGTTGAGGCTCATCACTTACAGCAGTTTAAGAGCAACATTCCACAATAAGCAGTTGGAAGGATTTTTGATATTTCACCCATCTACACTGTATATCATCAAAAGATTCAGGGAATGTAGAGACATCTGAACAATATATACATATTTTGGAGCAACATATGTTGCCTTCTATATGACCTCTTTTTCAGAGACGTCCATGCCTATTTCAACATGACTGCGCCAAACCACGTGCTATGATGGCATGGCTGCTGGCCTGCCTGCAGTCCAGATCTGTCTCCCACTGAAAATGTGTGGCACAATGTGTGTGTGGTGCAAAATACAACAACAGAGGCCTGGTACGGTTGCCCAACAAACAATTTTCCTTTCAAAACTGGGTCAGCTGGTGTCTTCAGTCTCCAAAACTATTTATAAGTGTTGTTAAGAGGCAAGGTAAACATGGTCTTTCCCAACGTTTTTAATAAAAGGAAAAAAGTTCACAAGGTAAAACAAGTATTGTGTTTTTGTATGTTAATCAACAGAATTAATTAATTACTTTTTGTTTTATTCGCATTTTACATGCTGTCCCAACTGTTTTGAAATTGAAGTTTGAGCCATCATTTTTAAAGAGATACAAAATAAAAATTTTGCATTTTTAGATTGTTTCAAATTATGAAAGCGATTCAAAGCTGGTTGAGCTCATTTACAGTTATGGCTTTCTGTGCTGATCTAGGTTTTGGCTAAAATGTTTCATATTTGAAATATTAACACTGAGCGTGTGTCATATGCCATATTCATTGTACGCTAAAGAAAAACTTTACAATAAATACCTTTAAAATGTATTAATACAGTTATAACATTTAACACAATACAAACATCATGTATGCGGTGATTCATTTATGTTTGAATGTGTTTCATTTAATATCCAGACGGACATATTCCTACTCCGAGCCCCAGATGTATAGCCAGAACAGTGCGGGGAACTACTTTGACACGCAAGGCAGCTCATCTCATGTGACCACGGTGGTGACATCTCACAGCATGGCCAACAACGGCAACGGAAATGGAGGGCTGCCGATGGGCCTCTCCGGCAGCCAGATCATCAGCAGCTCAGGAGCATATCTGATCGGGGGCAACTCTATGGACAACTCGGCCCCTCACACTGCAGCCCAGACCACCAGGGCCTCCCCAGCTACAGTAGGTCCCGCTTTCTGACCTGCTTCTCACCTCCTGAAGTGAAAGACTGTGCTGACTTATATTCCAATTAACTATGTGTTGTTTGTGTGGTTAGAAAAAATACTTAAGGAATATTCCAGTTTTTTGTAACCTAGCCATATTCTCAGTTGTCATGTATATTAATTTTGACACATTTCCAATCCTGCAGGAAAAAAACAGAAAACCTGGTGACTCGAAACACACAATAGATGCCTTTGGACAGTTACTGAATTTTGGGAGTTAATGTTTGAAATACGTGACTATAAAGTGCAAATTCAAAATATAGCAAGACTTTCAGGTTTTTCAAAAAGACAGGCATAAGAGAATGTCTTACGAAGGTTTATTTAGTTTTTGAAAGGCTGTTTTGCTATTTTCCAATCACAGTGTTCCGATATGCATACAGTCAATGGGATGTGAGTGAGGAAGTCTGTTTGCCTAGTACATCATTGCCTTCAGCCTAGTGTAAACAATGGTAATAACTTATTTTAAAGTTATTGTTTGGTATAATGATTCAGCATTCAGCATTCGTATTGGCCGAATTCAAGGATCGCTTGGCAAGGATGGCTTTTTGGTGTGGTTTACAGTGAGCCTGACTGTTCTCTTCATGCAGCTCTTTTAAGAGATAATGAATATTTTTTTGGTCTTATCCTAGTAGGACTGCCCACTAAAGCAGCCAATCATGACCAGTTGTGACTGTCCTGAGTGTTCTGAAAATCCAGCCCCTGATTACTTTCACTTTCCTTAAGGTGACACTTTCACACAGCTAGTTGCATGTTGTGAGTTGCATTCAGTTACCTGAAGCAATTCGAAAACAAAGTCGCATGCAACACATTTACGCACTCTATTGTTTGCCGAATTTTGATACATCGATTCCTTCTTGCTATATAAATCTATCAGCTGTCCAGCTTTTTTCTATATTTCTGCCTTTTAATTATCTTTCTATGCTTCCTACTATGCAGACATATGCAAAAGTATGGACACCCTGGTCAAACTGTTTTGTTGATTTTCTAAGTGACAGTATGTGCACGTCGTCTGCAGAGACCATGCACATTTTAATGCATTTGCTCAAATTTAACATATTGGGAAATATATAAATAGAAGTACATTTGAATAAATAGAATTTGTGAAATTTGTAGTGTATATATGTATATGTTTGTATATATGTAATTTGACTAAATTTGATAAAACGTAATTTGCTTGGCATTTGAATCTATTCTAATCTTATCTGTAATATAAGCCCTATGAAGGCATTATGGTTGTGCTTTATGCCTTGCTCATCATGTCCTTGAAGCACAGTGAGCACATCAAGGACTGCATCTTAGACTGCACTGATGCAGTGAAATCAGCAGTTTGAAATGATGTTGCTTGGTATGATCACAGGGCGCATTACTTGCGTTTTGATTTGCTGTTTCATGAAACTGTTTCCACAAAGACACATGCAGCTGTTGCAGCCGTGTTGCAAGCGAGTGGCATGACGCTTGACGTTATGCAACTTAAGTGCTATTTACTTTTTACGTAGATTTCAAGCAGGTAAAGTTGCACAGAAGTTTCACCATATAAAGGCTTCAGGCTGGCTTTACATGTCCATCTTATATCCACCCTCTTCATTACGCTGATAATAAAATTACATTTTTCTCTGTAAAATTAGTCCCATCTCTGAAAGAACAAAGTATACAGTTTTATAAATACTTTTGACTGACAGATTGGGGAAAATGCAGAGAAATAGGTCTTTCACACAACCGGTTATTGCCAGAATTCAGCAACTGCTCTATGACTTCTGTTAAGTTTCGAGTTAGTGGGTTTTCTGTTCTTTTCTAAGTGCAACGCATTAAAAATTACTATCCATGTCGACTGTACAGCTGTAGCAGATGGAGATTAGGGTGAAAAACACTGGAGTACTCCTTTAATAAACATTTAAATGAATAAGAGGAACAATTTATCCTAGAGATGATTTGGCCAGTCTAAAAAAATCAAAAACAGTTCAGCTGTATAGCAGTTCCTAGATCACTTTTGACCTCTGGTGGTAAGGTATGGTATTGTTCTGTGATGGAGCGATGTGGCCTGTTTATTGCTTTGCACCTTAGAAATATTGTATTTCTCAAGTCTCTGTTGGAAAGGAATACTTCTCCCAAATATACTAATGTTGCTAACAGTAAGTGAGAGCTAGTAGGGAACAGTTGGCATCTTTGCTTTTGGATGATGCTAACAGTCGCTACTGGCGCATTTCACAATATTCATATTTTTGGATGAAATATTCTTTTACAAGTCGCAGGCCTTATGTGAAAACGTGTATCTGCTGTGCTGTGCGGTCTTGCGCTGTGTCTGATTTGGTGGTCGGGAGGCTTGAAGCAGTTGATTTATTTTCTGCTAATCTGTACTGATTACTGCATATCTTGGTAGTTTTCAGTATGGGTCTCTGTCGCTACAGCCGTTTTTATTTCTTTTTCCTCCTTTTTTTGTTCTGTTCCCCCCGCCTTTTCCTTTTGCTCTTTGGTCTATCAGATTGAAATGGCGATTGAGACGCTCCAAAAGTCTGAGGGTTTGTCCAGTCAGAGAAGCTCACTGCTCAACAGCCATGTAAGTTGCAACCATGAAATCAATGCCTTCTCCTTCTCTTCACTGTCTGCTTGGATGCACACTTTTGCGCTCTCTTTCTAAGGCTTTTTCTCTCTGTTATTAAGGTGTTGGGGCTTGAGCAGTTGTCTTTCTTTTTTTGTTTTATGACACCTTTCCTATTGTTATTTATTGATTTAATATATGTAAAGTTCTAGGTTTTAACACTTTTTAACCGAAAGTGATTACATCAGTGGTCTCCAACTCCGGTTCTGGAGAGTTACCTTCCTGCAGACCCTTTTTCTAGCTGTAACTTACCACATATGCTCCAGCTAATCGACCTCTTCTCATGTCCCTGATTGGCTGGATCAGATGTATTAGAGTTAAGTAAGGGGAAGTACAGCTTATTTAGATACACGTTGGAATTAAACTCTGGAAGATACCTCTCCAGGACCAGGGAGACCGCTGGCTTAGATCATGTTTTCTTATCACAAAAATGCTAGTTTCCAAAACTGCTTCTTTCCACATGTAGATTTTGGTGTTCATCAAGAGTATCATACCAATGTTCTACAAATGGCTCTTTATTAAGAAATGGCCCAGAGTTTAGAGTAAACTGATATGGTAAGCTGTGCTCTTCCACAGCTACAATGGCTCCTGGACAACTACGAGACTGCAGAAGGGGTGAGTCTGCCTCGCTCCATGCTTTACAGCCACTACCTGCGCCACTGCCAAGAGCAGAAACTGGACCCAGTCAATGCTGCATCATTCGGAAAACTCATCCGCTCCATCTTCATGGGGCTTCGCACTCGCCGCCTGGGAACCAGGTACGTCAGCATTGGTCTACAGTGCCCACTTTTTCTATTGTTAATGAAGGCAGCATCACACTTGGTCACTACGCCCCTTGTCCTGAATGCAGAGGGAACTCGAAGTATCATTACTATGGGATCCGGGTGAAGCCAGACTCGCCTCTGAACCAGCTGCAGGAAGACATGCAGTACATGGCTCTGCGACAGCAGCCTGTCCAGCATAAACAGAGGTACTTGATTTGTGTCTTTTCAGTTTTGATTGTAGCCTACATTCTTAACAATGTTGTAAGAGGGGAAACCCAGTAACAACAAACCCAGTAACAACAAATGCGTTAACTGCCTTTAACTGAGTTTGACAAAGTCTGAAAAGGTTTAATGCGCAACCATGCATTTCTTCCTCCATTTATCTTGTTTAGGCTGCGAAAATGTATTCAGTATTATAGCCGAAACTACAATAACAGACAGAACAGTTGTTTTACTATATTATGTGAAAAATTGCGATAAAATGTTTTTCGTTTAGATGTGGAAGCTAAAAGAGCAAAAACACCTAAGAAGTCATGTTTCGGAGCGCTTAAAATTTTCAGACAATAAGAAAAATGCCCGCTGCATGGTTGTGCAGAAAGCCTGATGATCGAGCACCACTTGGTGGGCTACATGCTGCCTACTGGATATGTTTTGAACTGCAGTAATGAACATACCTAAAGTTGGAATTAATTATGAAACGTGAATAATGTTGTTTTTAACAATGGGGTTGAGAATGTTTATTCAAGTACTTGTTTGGAAACCCCACCAAGTATTTGAAGCCTGTAAAATATTGCTTAGGCCAGCCGTGCTATGTACGCTACTAATGTGGCCTGCAGGCCTAGTGAATGTTAACTTTCCGTTATGTGATGTTAAATGGGTGAATATACTCCCCACTTCCTACAGACCCTGACGGCATGGCCTCATGTGATTTTGTATTTTGTCAGGTTCAAGCCAGTGCATAAAATGGATGGAGTTTCAGGTGACTATTCCAACAGCGGCCAGCACAATCTCATTGCTGCAGAGCAGACTATCCTTGCACAGAGCCAGCACCATCAGCAGTTCCTGGGTAAGGCTGGAGCCTCTCTTGCATAGATGTGTGAATTTCAGCAATGAGTGATGTTAACCCACTCTACTGTCATTCCACAGATGCCTCTAGGGCTCTCCCAGAGTTTGTAGAGCTTGATCTGGGAGAACATGTAGTAGAAGGCGTCAGCATGGAGGATATCAAAGCCCTTCAGACACTGTACAGAGAACACTGCGAGGTTAGTGTTTTTCGCACTGGCCGTACAGCCATCCCACTTAAAAGGGAGATTGTTTACATCTTAATCATTTAATTATGCACAAAATCATGCAGCAAGAAATTCAGCAAATAAGCAGTAACTGTGCATTCAAATGTGCAGAAGTGTGTTGAGGATATGTGCATTTTTCACTTAGAAAATCAACAAAATATGGCCAGAGATGGCCAAACTTTGCATGCAGATGAATTAGTGGTGAATAGTGCTAAGTGCTAGTTCCATTTTGGGTGTGTGTGTGTGTGTGTGTGTGTGTGTGTGTGTGTGTGTGTGTTTTATTCTAATTTAATTTCTTTATTTTTAATGCATCATTAACTTTATACATTATATTATTTTTTGTGCCGTTGCTATGGCTCCATGGCTTATAAATACAGCTTTTAAATGGCAAGTTTTACTTTGATTCTTTTGATAAAACCAAAGTTATTTCCAGCTACTGCCATGCCAGGAATTTATCACCGAAGTACATGGAGCCTGATGTATATTTACAAGCAAAACACATCGCTGATGCTGCAATATCACTAACTCAGCTGACTGGACTGGACAGTGCTTGCAGAAGAGGAACAATGCTGTTTTCTTAAAGTTATAACAATGAGTAATGAGTCTAGACTTGCTGATCGGTCAGTGAATGTTAATTAATTTAAAAAGGATCCTACATTTCTTGATCACTTTTTATCCTGATCTTGGCATAATGTGGCTGGAGAACTGTCCCTGAGTGTTGTGTATATTTCCAATTGGCTCACTGCTTTTCCTGCAGGCCATTTTGGATGTGGTGGTAAACCTCCAGTTTAGCCTGATAGAGAAGCTGTGGCAGACGTTCTGGCGCTATTCCCCTTCCAACTCTGTAGAGGGCACCACCATCACGCAAAACAGGTCTGTTGCTCTACTACTAGTAACCAAAACCCGGTGCTGCATACCCAGACAAAGAAAACAATCTTGAACTTTTAATGGTCTATTCTGGTGCAGCGGGGTGAGTGAGATCGAGAGCCGCCTACCGCAAGCCAGGCTGCTGCTGCTGTGCCGGAGTGAGGCCGTGCTGAAGTGGATGAGTGCCTGTGATCACCTGATGTACCAGGCTCTGGTGGAGATCCTCATCCCTGATGTACTCAGACCCATTCCTAGTAAGTAAACCTAATGTTTCTGAGATGGAAGCTACAACACATCCAGCATGACTGATATTGACACTAACTGGATAGTTGGGTTAAAAATCAAATTTGCATGTTTTTCCGCTTAAGCCAAATGTAGTAAATTAGCTAAGACAAACTTTGGACAAAGTTCGCTTCTTTGGGCTGGCTTTAAAAGATGAAACGTTCACGGAACTAGTTGCAGGTTTTGAGTTGCCTGCAACATAATTTCTGTGCAACTTGGAAATTACACAAACAAAACAACACTTTTTGTTGCTCCACTAGATAGCCAAATATTCATAACGCTCATATTTTTTGATACATCAAATTATTCTTGATATAAAGTCATCCATGAGGTGTAATTTACATATTTGCAGCCTTTTTTTTTTTTTATCATCTTTGTTTTTTTAGCTGTCTTTGCCATTTTCTATATATTTTTAATCTGTATTGTCTATGATGAGCCTTTGAAAATTAATGTTGACGTAGTCATTACGGTTAAAGCCTACTCGAAGTGTCACTCACCCTGTCCTAGAAGCACATGAAGTTCATCGCGGACTAAATCTGAGCTCTTGTAAACTTGGAGAGGATGACAATACGGACATCACGATAACAGCAAGCTAAATAAGAATAAGTGCTGGCGCAAACAGCCGTTTAAACAGCTGTTAGTGTTATCTGGCTAGTTAAAGTATCTGGTCACACAAATGTTAAATTCAAGAAGCTCATGTTTGTTTTTGTGGCTCAGAAAACTGGCCACATGAAAACCTACCAATCATGAGTCAGTCAGGAGGGGGTCTCCTTTTCCACTGCCCAATAAACTATGGGTTTCCTTTTTAACCGACCAATAAACTGTCTTCTGTCTCATTTTCTTATGCATTAATCCAGTGAAATCAGTGATTTGAACATCTGTTGTTCACCTTGATAACATGATGCTTTGTTGGGGGTTTCATAAAATTAGTTCCACGAATTTGCGATGCCTGCAACTGTTACAGCTACGTTTTAAGAGTTGTAGGATGCTTTAAATTATGTAACTCAAGTGCAGTTTAGTTTCATGTAGGTTTCACTGTGTAAAGCCAGCCTCAGAATTGCACTGGAGCTACAAGGCCAGTGTCGCTAACAAGTAATCACAGTTTGTACTTGACCAAGTGTTGTGCAAACTGCATACCCTAGTCACCATACAATTGCCTCAAACTATGTATAAGCTTCCATTACTTACTATTTGCGTCATAGATTCAGTGCAAAACTACAGAAGACTGCCCAACTACATTTGGAGTTCCAAACTTTCACTTTAATGTTGGCTCTGATACATTCCCTCCTGAGCACATTGTCTGGTTCTGTCCCCACCAGGTGCCTTGACTCAAGCCATCCGTAACTTTGCCAAAAGCCTTGAGGGCTGGCTCACCAACGCCATGAGCGCCATTCCCCAGAAGATGATCCAGACCAAGGTTGGCTCAGTGTGCTATAAACCCTCTGTTTTTGTTTTTGGTGCTCAGGCATTGTTGAAAAAAGTTCTAGTTAGTTCATATTATGCGCTTTTGGAACCGTTTAGCCTTGAAAAGAGTTCTTGTTATATGAGCTGTGAGCAGTTATAATGACCTCACTTGCACAATGCTGCTGCTACCATTCGTTTTGGAATGATTGAAATGTTTTTGTGTATTTCTTCGAAGCCGGTCTCTCTAGAAGAAAAAGTGTTTGTGGATTTATTTTTGTGTGTGTGTGTGTGTGTGTGTGTGTGTGTGTGTGTGTGTATAAAAGCGTAGTTGTTGGTAGGCAAAAACATTTGCCAGTGATCAGTATGTTAAACGATATTCATTCGCTCCTAACATGAATGCCCTGTTTTAACCGTTCTGTTCAGGTATCCGCTGTTAGTGCCTTTGCTCAAACCCTGCGCAGATACACGTCTCTGAACCACCTGGCCCAGGCAGCGCGTGCAGTTCTGCAGAACACCTCCCAGATTAACCAGATGCTGAGCGACCTCAACCGTGTGGACTTCGCCAATGTGCAGGTCTCGTCCCATTCAAACCTTCACTAGCTCAGGGTGCCTATTTCCAACTTAAGGCTCATCTGTTCTTGTCTATGGTGCGTAGAGGCCCACTTGAAAAAATTAGTGTGCAGCATCCGTCAACAGCATTGACTGCATTATCTAAAACTGATGTTTGATTAGCGTGCTGTGTTGAGCCTCATTGTTATAAGCACTTCTCTATTTATTTTTGTATATTTACCATCTGAAAAGATTTGTTTATTTCCTTGTCAACACATGAATTATTTTTTTTGCTGATGTTTTTGCTGGCCACTAGAGGGTGCTGCATGTTCCACTGGTTAAGAAAGCCTGCTCTAGCTTAGGTTTACAGGGACGTTGTTGGGGGGGCTGTGGTGGTACTGATCTTTGTGCCCACTTTTCGCTGTACAGGAGCAAGCCTCGTGGGTGTGCCAGTGTGAAGAGGGTATGGTCCAGCGGCTGGAGCAGGACTTCAAGGCCACACTGCAGCAGCAGAGCTCCTTGGAGCAGTGGGCCGCCTGGTTGGATAATGTGGTCTGCCAAGTCCTCAAGCCCTACGAGGCCCAGCCCACCTTCCCTAAAGCTGCCCGCCAGTTCCTGCTCAAGTGGTCCTTTTACAGGTGAATCTCAGCACCAGCTAGTTTTCCTCTTTTATGTTTTCTATTTTCTTTTTCCAGCATTTGCAGACAAAAATGTCTTTAATTCTTCAGAATAGCTTCACTTTACACTTCAGTAACAGTTTCAAACACATTAACAGCTTTAAGCTTAAAATTATCCAAAATTCTTAAAATCTGTACACACAGTATACATATATACATATATGGAATATCAAGCTTTTGTCCAGCAGCGTAACTGTGTGTATGTTTCTCATCCTGTGAACTTGCAGCTCAATGGTGATCAGAGACTTGACCCTGCGCAGTGCCGCCAGCTTCGGCTCCTTCCACCTGATCCGCCTACTCTACGACGAGTACATGTTCTACCTGGTGGAGCACCGTGTTGCCCAGGCAACAGGAGAGACGCCCATCGGGGTAATGGGAGAGGTAAGGATAAGGACATCTCCGCTGAAATAGCTTTCTGTGGTCTGTCTGCATTTCTCCTGCACGACAGGGACTCTCTCCTTTGTGCGGCCCAGCGTGAACAGCAAAGCCTTTTAAGAAGCTTTGAAATCACTCTTTATATGAAATGGCCTTCTGTTTCTTCCCTTTAGTGAAAACGTTTTATTGGTTCTCAGAAAAATGCGGTGATCACACATTGGCATTGTTGTAAGCCTTTCAGTTCTTACCCATTTACATTTACCCATTGCTCTGTGCTCTGATTGTTCTGCTATGCGACTGCATTCATGGCCCTAATTGTTATTGAATTTACATTAAAGGATAGAGCGATTTGTGCTGCGGTTCTAAGGCCATTATAAACATTAGAGGCTTGTTAAATGGCACGGTCTAAAGGGCTTACAAGGGCTGACTTGGACCAGCACAGTAGGGATGTTGTGGAGAGTGATGTTTGATTTGATGGTAATTATTTCCTTGTGTTGCCTTTTTTTTCCTAGTTTGCAGACCTGAATACCATGTCACCTGCCAACATTGATAAAGGTGAGCACTTCACAACATGGCTTACAAGCTGTGATTTCATCTGAATCCACTGTTCCCATGTAATTTAAATTCTTCTCAGCTGTTTGGATCCAGTGGGTGTCTGTTTCTTGTTGTTCTTATGACTCTGGTTTCTTGGTGTACTATTACTGTGAGATGCTGTCTCTAATAGGCTGGAAATTCCATTACCCTGACTAGTTGTTGTTCACAGTAAACTGTTACTTTGGCTAAACATCACTCTGTTTTCTAGACATGGATTAAGCCTAGTATTAGACTAAATTGCATTGCCATCACTGTTGGAAGTTGTTTTGACCTTAGCCTTACCCTTAATCTGGGACTGGGGAACTGACCCAGTGTATCTTAGGCCCTGTTTACACTCGGCGTTAACATTTGACCACCATGATTGGATCATCATCCAGTCAGAACACAGCATGTTTACACTTGCCCTTTTGAACTGTGGCTTCTGTATCCAGATAGTGATCAGATCTTATTTTTATAAACAATATTTAAATCAGGCTGGTATGGCAGCAGGTACAGAGTAGGCATAGCTTCTACAAGCTGCTTTATTAAAATGTGATTGCGATGGAGTGTGTTGCAGGCATTTCAAGCTATAATGAAGAAAGGAAAACTGAAGCACAGCAGAAAGAAATATGGATTAAAATCGCAGCCAGAAGTAGCCTAACAATACCTAAATAATACAGCTCAATCAGAATAGACTAGTCCAACTGAGGCCATTCGGAATACAATTTCTGTCCGATTGAATGAGGTGGGTAATCCTGTAAATAATCCATTAAATAGAAGAATAATAGTCATGTAAACGCCTGTATCTGATTACATTCCCAATCAGAAGGTTTAAGTACGTTCTGATCATGTTCGTCGCGTCATAGTGAAAGTTTATACCGTTCAACATGGCGGGAGCAGAAACTGGTCTGCAGAGGAGACGAAGTTTATGCTCTGATCTTTTAAAAGACGGCGGTGGGACGGACGTCCAGCTTATGTGTCTCAGAACACAACGTCTTCCTCTCGGCCTTCTTTAATAAGGACATGTGAAGGACGTTTTCCTGAGTCTGACATCATTTTAAAGCAATTAAAAGCACAAGCACTGCTCACTGCTGCTCATCTCACTCTGACTGGACTCACGTGATGTTGGCTGTCATGGTAACGTCTACGCTACGTGGTTCTCTACGCATGCGCATAACTTTGGACCTGATTACTCATAGTGTTCATGTAAACGGAGATCAGATTGTTGAGTACAGTGAGCATATAAACATGTACGTCTTAATCTGTAATCGGAATGTATTCAATCAGATTGGCAAAAATCTTTGCATGTAAACACAGCCAGTTATATACTGTTCTCCATAAGCGGCAAATGGCTTTTCGACTTTTTGTAAGCCTACGTTTGAATATACTTGGACGCTAGAGGTGGGCAATATGCCAAACATGAGAGAATATGTGATATTTGTAAGGTTGAAATATAGAAGTGCCACATTTGAAAAATACTATCAAAAACTGTGAATACAATGATTTTTATTCAGCACTTCACATTCTGAGCTGCACTAAACCTAATTAAACAAACTAATAATGCTCTGTTTGTAATCAGCATGCACTTGGGAGGTGTCTAAGTACTGACAGTATCCACAATATGCTCAGAAAAGCACACTGTGATATCATTTTCACAGTAGTGATAAATATTGTTGAATTGCCCAGCCCCAGTGAAAACACCTAAAAATAACTTTAACAAGAGAGACAGGAAAGATATTAAAAGTTGTGGGTGGAGCTGATGCGATGGAAGACCGTTAATGTAGCCAAGCTGGTGGCATTGCTTTTACAGACACACAGGTCCGATCACAGTGCGTGCTTGACTGTCTAGGGCAGGGGTGCACAGCTTCGGCCCTGGAGGGCCGGCATCCAGCACAGTTTGGTGATTTACCTGCTTAAACACACCTGATTATACTCATTTCTTAATTGTCAGGTTTAGCGGATGTGTTTGAGTAGAGAAACTGCCAAACTGTGCTGGACGCCAGCCCTCCAGGTCCGGAGTTGTGCACCCCTGGTCCAGGGAAAGCTAGATCCAAACACATTCCAATCACAAACACGATCACCCTTGTCATTTCAATGTCAGTAGTCTTGACGAACGCTTAGATGGTAGTCTGTAACTTTGGCACTTAATTTCTTAATTTTGTTTTTTGTTTTTTTATTTATTTCCACTTTTGCTTTAATGACAGCAGGCGCGTGAGCTGGCATGGACTCCACAAGTTTGTACAAAAGCCTCTGATGAGTAGATCAAATCAACCTGAGAGTCGTCTGAACACGAGCTTCAGTGGAAGAGACACGACTCAAAAACAAATCTGACCCTTTTGTATAAAGGCTTTAACATGGTCCTTAACTAAATTTAAACACTGACCTAGAAATGGTGCAGAATCTTGAATATTTCTTCTAACATTTACTTGTTTATGGATTTTCACTGTGGTCATGTTCAACACATTTGACCATCAGGGGGTGCCTCAGGAAACCTCTACACCATGGTCAAAGGAAATGCAGATTTTTAAAATAGCCAATTTGAAAAAAATTGTGTGTCTGTCTTCAAATATGAACACCGTCCTCCATAATAATAAAAAAAAAAAGTATCAACAGTTTTGAAAAACTTGTATTGCACACCTGAAATGACTGTGATGATCTGAAAACCTAAAAAGTGAGAATTGTTCGTTCCAGACGAGGTGAGCGAGATGGGCAGCGACCTGGACGAGGAGATGGAGGAGTCGGAGGAGCTGCTGACTAAGCAGGAGAAAAACGAGACGGAGGTGATTCAGGTGCTGCAGGTGGGGGCCATGGAGGACGGCAGCAGCGCCGTGGTGGGAGTCGTGCAGCCGGGCTCGATTCAGCTCACTTCAGCCGCCCATGCCGACCACATCCTCAGCTCGCCCACCGGACCCAGCACCATCCGCCACTGCAGCGGTGCTGGGAACGCATACGCCTCTGTGTGAAGAGGCCAAGACAGAGCTACTCACTCTTTCTGCTTCGCTGTCTCATGACTCATTTTCCCCTCTCCCTGCACACAGTGCACTCTTTCAAGTTCCGTTATGTCCACTTTCTCCCTCTCATCTTTATCTGTCGATGTTTAAGGCATTCTCTTGTGCTCAGCAAGGTTGAATCACACGTATGATAACACTACACCTAATGGCTTAGTTGCAAAATGCATAGCTGCAGCTCGAGTCCTGTCTGCTATATGAACTTAGTTTGTGTGATCAGCTTATCCAACTCGGAGCAACCCTTGAAAGAGAAGTTGGTGCTGATAGAAAATGGCGAGTTTTTAACTATTTTTGATGACCAAGAGCTCAAATCCAAGCCACTAGCTCCACAAGGAAAACGAAAATGATTCTAGAAGTTTATTTTTGACTTTGTGTCTTGTCACTTTTTTCTATTTATTCGTACTACTGGTCATTGTTTACGATTTTCTACGTGGCTTTGTGTTGCAGTGGGAAACCTTGCTGTATACTGTGCTGCTATAACCTCAGGCAGGCTACTGAACTTCTGAACTTCTTAAGCTTGCTTATTCATCAGACTGTACCTTGCCCCTTTGCCTTCTGTTTGTGGAATTAGTCGCTTGGTAGCTCTTTGGAGAGGATTCGATATGTACACTACATATACAGTGCTTGTTGTGATAGTAAAAATAATTTGTAGTGATTTATTTTTCCAGATTGGACCAAAAATGAGTGGCGACTGGCTGTTCCGGGCCGTTTGTAAAGCTTTGTTTCCTCTCCCACCTGTGCCGTGTTGTAAAACAGAGCGAATGTCAGGGATTTAATGTACCTCGGGTTCATCATAGTGCCTTAACAGCTTTTCATTTTGTCATACTGACAGGGAGGCAGTTCTTTTTTTTTTTCTTTTTTCTTTTTTTGGTTCCGGTTGCTCACTTACCGGTGTATGGTCATTGCTAGATCTCTGTAATTGGACTTGTGGCTGGATTTGTGGTTGGTCATCAATGTGAGAAGGTACAGCACTGATGATTCAGGAGTGCAGTTTATCCACTAAGTAGGGCTGGCTCGAACGTTTTCCAGGCTTCAAATTCTCGTTGGTGTTTACTATTACACATTCCCAGTAAAAACACTGGGCCTCATTCACCAATATCTTTCCTAGTTTTTTCATAAACTTGTTCTTGAGAAAGGTTCTAAGAAAAAGTCTACGTCAGATTAATGACATGTTCTCAAACTGCAGAACTGTTCGCACCTTTGTGCTCTTGTGTATGTGTAGATTCTGTTCTTACCTAAGAACAAATCCCAAATAAGAAAACACTGGTGAGACAGAATGTTCATGAAAACTGTGCAGGTGGGTTTTAAAAAGAAGTTTCTTCTAAAGAATGGTTGGTGAATGAGGCCCAATAAGATTTACAGTTCATAACTAACCATAATTTGAAATCTGTTTAAATCAAAAAATTCCAAATCGTTACAGATCCCTTTTTACGATAGATGTCGTACACATCATGTCAGAGAATCAGACAGTCCAACTGGATTTTTGCTTACCTGGATAGCAACGATGACATAGAATTAAATGTTTTAAAATCTTTGTTTAGAGATTTGTTTTCATAGCTAGGTTAATGTTAGCTAGATTAGGGTTACTGAATCAGCTATCTAGCCAATTTCAAAGTTCAGATTCCATCACGAGTAAAACAACTTTGATAGATGAACATAAATCTTGTTAAAGCAACATTTATGTAAGATTTGGGGATTTGGAAATATGTAATTGTATGCAGCGGGTGTTTTGTAACGTCGGTTGTGCTTCAAGCGGATGTGGAGTATTCAAAGAGAACTACTAGGATACTATAGTCAACATACCTTTATCAGTATAATGCTTATTTTGCATTTGAGACCTAAACGTTGAGTCGGACGTTCTTTTTAAGCCTGCGTGTGTGACGTTCATACATAAAGATGTATGACGTGGTCTAAAAAACCCCTAGCAAATCCGTCCCGGTACCCCTGACTTTTAAATGATTACTTCAGGCTTTACAGTGCAACTCGCAGAGACACACGGACATCGTATTTTATTGTTTTCTTCTTTCTCCACACAAACGCTGCTTCTTTCAGTTATAACAAAAAAAAAAATATGACAGTGCTGATTTAAACTCAGAGAATACTCTGAGTTACTGGATTCTCATATATGTAATGTTACAGTCCTTCATAACCTGTTAGCTACCCTGCTGCCCCTGTTTGTCTCCCTCTCTCAGCTTCGGCACGTTCAACAGTGAAAACTAGCCAGACAAATTAACGTGTTTAAACGTTATTTGGCGTTTTTTTAATATCTTCTACTGACTTAGCTTGCTTGGCAGGAAAAGGGGTGACACTGCAAAGTCGTAGAGGGAGGGTGGCGGTGTTTAGCCTTTAACGTTATCTGGGTATGACTTTTTAAATACCCTAATATCATGTCAAACTGCCATTTTCACTGGTGTTATGATCTAATCCAATGATGAATTACCTCTAACGCTACATTATCAGGCATCCACAAGAATGTTCTAGAAATTCTTTACAGGGTCTAAAGTGTTCAACAAAAGACGAAGCTTCTGGATAGTAAATGATGCGAATACCAGCGTGACGGAGGAATATTCGAATGATTCGAGCCAGCCCTACCGCAAAGGTTCTTATTGTGGTACGACACGTCTTACTTACTACTTACACTGCTCAAGGCCTGCTCCCTCCTTCGCCTTCTGTGGTTAGGGGAAGGTTTGTGTGTGTGTGTGTGTGTGTGTGTGTGTGTGTGTCTGTGTGTATGTTGTGCGTATGTATGCACGCACATGAGGGCTGGAATTGGGCTTAGTCGTGTTTTTGTTGATAGATTGTTTGTGTAAACGTCACCCTACCTCACACCAGTGGTGCCAGCCCTTGGATGCAAAAGCCCTGCAGTTCTGATGTGTTACATTGTGCTGGTCTCATCCAATCACACTAATTCTGTCCACACTCACATCCTATCCATTCCTTTTGTTAGACACTGGATATATGTATAGGACCAAAAGTTGCTATTTGCTATGATAAAGATAAATATATATATATATATTGATATAAATATATATGAGGGTGAATCAGTTCATATGTTTCTTTTAGTGTGGAATAGCTGAGCTGGTGGTGTTGCTTTTGTAGCTTCTTTTGTCGATCGGTTGATCCGTTAATTGACTGTGAAAGGGGAGGGGGAGGTCAGTCTGTATCATTGGGAGAAGACACGAAATTGGGTGATTTGGACCAATGATTTTGCAAAACAAATGGCTCCCTTTCACCCGAGAGCACCAGCGACATGCATTTAAAAAGAGGATCTCAGTCTGGTGTCTAGTTGCTCCCTGGTAATAGGTGCTGACTACATGAACTCCTTTTTTTGGTACTTGATTTGTACTTGTTATTGATTGCCGTCATGTAATGGGGAAAACAAAAACACTGGAAAACCAGACGAACTGGATCCGTTTTGTCTTCACTACTGACATTTAGTTATTTTTTATTGTTTTATCTGACTTGGGTAGCTGCCCATGGATGCTGTTTCTTCTTCTTCTTCTTTTGTGTTTTTTCCATGGACACTGTTTACGGCACTGAATTTCAAGTGTAATTTGTCTGCCTGATCGGCTTATTTTTAAAAATTTTCCTGAAGGTCCTCAAAAACCCTGCTTTCTGGAACCTAATCACCATTTATTGGACTACAGTTTGCAAATTAGGTCACTTTTTTTCATAGTTATGAGCCGTTAGCCGCTGAATGTGGCACAATTTGCTGAATATGCTTAGAGGTTCTGTAACTGATCTAATATTTAGCCCCACCTCCCTGTGTAAAGTTAACCATGTTTTTAGTTTAGTTTCTCGCTATGGATTTGTCATGTTTTGTTGTATCCTCTTGTGCCTGGAGTGAGAACAGCTCTATGCTATTAGTTAGTTTTAAATTAAAGTGCTTTTGGTCTTGCATGCCTTTTTTTATTGTGCTGCTAGAATATCATGAATTTCCTTTTTCTATTTCTTTTCGGACTGTGCCACAGTAAATAACGATTTTGCGTATTCATTCCAATCTGCTTGCCTGTTGCTGTCCCCTCCTTTTTTTTTTTGCCAAAATGATGATGACGACAAAATGCCTGATAATTTAATTTGAACATATGTTCACTGTTTATTCCTGAGACCTGAGCTGGCGTGCCCTATTTTTTTATGTCCCACTCCACTGAAGTTGGCCTTGCTGCAACCTGAACCCTAAAAATGATCCGTTTTGTCACCAAAGTATGGTGCGCATCAGGGCGAAGCAGTGAAGGCAGAGAAAACGTGACCGAACATATCAAACCCCTGAGCTACTGCAAACAGGAGAGGGAAGGCTCTCCTAGCAAGGCAGCTTCACTGACAAAAGACTTCAGTGCCTTTTGATTTCACTAAGACCTCCAGGACCGGAGGAAGCTCACCGGTTTGGCCGTCTTCGCAAGGCGGACAGCGGTCGAGTTTCAGCTGGCCAGTCTAAGTAAGGTCTACTCTTAGCCGTGGTTCAGGTGTCCCTGCTGTCCTCTACGTAACCCCTATGACTCGCACCGACCACAGATATGCACATGTACACGTTTAGGGGTGTAACCGCTCCATCTCTCCATCGTGGCGACTGATAAATGTGGGGAGTCTTATATGGATGGATCTCTTGCGTAGGAAACAGTGATGTAAGTAGAGCTGTATTGGAATTTCACCAATAAGAACACTGCACTATCATAATCATGACATCCTTTCCCCCCCTTTCTATTGTTCGTGGAGTGATGTGCTTTTTTTTTTCTTTTCTTCCTTTTTTAAATGCTTTTCGGAATATTTTAAGTGCCATTTGACGGTTTACTTAGTGAGTCGTGGCCTGCTGTAGCGTGTCCTAATGCAAGCACAAGCATTGTGGTACTCCCTAGCGACTCAACACTCTGAGGGGGGGTAAAAAAAAGCAGTCTTAGTTGTAAATATTGAAATAAAATGGAAGGTTATTTATTTACTCTCCCTTTCGTTGACCGGTTTAATGACTGATATGTTTTTGAAAGTGTACATGGTGATTCTTTTCCCCTCTTTCTCTTTTCGGACAATGTATTGTACTTTACATATACATACAGTATGTATTTTTTTTCCCTTCTCCTTTTTCGTGTGTTGTTTCAATTTATCTCTTAGTAAATTATATTCTCTGAAAAATTGGTAAGAGCTAACCAATATGTGTAGAGTGATTTGTATTGTGTATTTTACATGAAGGATAACAAAACTGGGGAACTTTTATATTTATAAAGGCATATATTAACATTTAGTGTGTCGTTATGAGGAAAATAGAGGAAATATCCAAGACACATGTAGTTTGTTTTTTCTGAATATTTCAGACTTGAGCTCAGGCTAGCTTATTAGTGTTGTTTACTTACTTGTGGCTGTCTTTCAATTAATAAACTTTTTTCTTGTTGAAAAAAAATTGTGTACAGCTTTTCAAAATTAAACCTCAGTGTAAACTGGTGTTAGAGGGTTGGATTAAGCCTAGTCCTGGATGAAAATCTCCTTTCCATAGAGAACCTCCTTTCCAAATGCTTTGCAGGCCAATACTAGACTTAATCACTGTCAAACTGGCCTACAGAGTCTTGGATTCACTGGCATTCCCGGGTCAGGCTCGTTCTGTTTCAGAAGCAGGAATCTTCTGAATTCTGAGGAATGTGAAAATCCTTCAGTCGTGAAATGTGAACAAGTGACAAGTACAGATAAGAACCACAAAACAACGTTCTACTTTCAAATATATTTCAATTAATTGATAAAACTGAAGTTCTACCTGAAAGAGCAAATGCTGTCACAAACGTCTGTTTTCCTATTTTAACTGTAATCCTACTTCTTTCCGTACAAATAGATATAGGACTTTATCAGGCTGCTTATAGTAAAAGTAGCAAAAGGAAACGATATCTAAATAAGCCCCTCTAAGACAGGCCATGATAGGATTGTCTAAACTCTTTTACCCTCCACTCGATACCTCAATCTGTACTTAAAGCAAAACCCACCACATATAAGCTCCATGTAATACTGACATTATCCTCTTCTCTATAATTTCATATGGCTTTCAGTTTTCTCACAGAAACATACCTGGTTTCCAGTTCATTTCTAATCAAAACATTATTGGAATTTATTACATTATTCACTGTTGGACCTGGATATCCTGCACTGGGAATTAAAATGAGAAACCAAAGTTATGAAATTAGGATTGTTTCCCCACAGTGAGGTATCTCGAGTCTTACTTTCCTCAAGGCCGAGTAAGAGTCGAGTTTGTTTGAGGCTAAGAAAACATCACGAGCCCTTTTAACATGTATTTAGACATGAATGACAGTATGGATATCTTAAAAAAAAAAAGAATAATAAAAATATCCTGTCAGTGTTCAGTGATGGCCGTGGATGCACCCTAGCATGGTTTTAATGTCCTGTCAGTGGAGCTTGAATTAAAACAGGAATTACACTGATTTTTCATCACTGAGATGTCAAATGTAGTGGTTATAGGACCCAGAGGTCATTTTATCTGCTGTCAAAAATAACCAATGAACACGTCAGAGTTTATTTGAGTACTGCTGTGGCTTTGAACATCCTGCATGTAGCCCTTTGCCATAAACAGACAAAAAATATATAATTCAGGCCAAAAGCTTCTCATAGCTCATATTGTTATAAAACAATGTCTCAGGTATCAGACAACATACTCCTAACCATTTTGTGTGACAGCTCTTTTAGAAGCATTAAGCGCTTTGACGTCTGGTTCCTATTACCACCACTGAACAGTCCTGACCAAGTTGACAGAATGGTGGAAAAGACTTGAATCCTAAAGATTTAATCATGCCAAGATTTTTGAAAAAATATTTATCTATGGAATTCCCTCTTAATTCATTGAAGGTACAGCCCAGTTTTGCTGATGGATGTATGGGGCGAGATGGACAGATGGGCGATTGTGTCAAGAAGATGTAAAGGGGGGATCTATCAATAAAGTGCTATAGTAAGCAATCATGGCATTCAGCTAAAAGGAAAAAAGGGAATATTCTTATTGCCCATTCAACTGAAGCTGGACACATCCTACCTACCTTAACCGCTGTATATCTTACAGAACAAGAGGGGTTTAGATTACAGGCCCTCCAATGAAACTGACCTAATACAGTTAATCAATGCACACATCTTGTAGCAAATACTGGGGATTAAATAAAATAACTGCCCCAATTCTACTGCCACAGGGGGAAAAACAGTAACTGCTACATGAATTGTCAGATAAACCGAAGGACTGCTTGATTCTGACCAAAATGGGTTAACATCCCTGGCTGTTGTATGAAAGCGCAGGAGGCTTTAGTTGGCGACCAAGAACGACCTAGTTCCAGCTTAAATGACCACATTAATACGCAGGTCAGCAACTTTATGGTGGACCAGTAAGTCATTAATAATTCATGAAACGTCACCTTGTAAAGCAGTGATACTCCTCCGGTAACAAGCCTACATCGTGTCCCTGAACAGCTTTGTTCAAAGACACGGTGTCCATGAATTTTGCCAAGATACATTAGTCCATATAAAGAAATCACATCATAGAGGATCTTGCTATAACCACAACAGCTGCATGTGAGGAGCTGAAACCATTTAATCACACAATGCTCAGAATTCTCTGCTCAGTTGCTCCTCATTTGTTGCATCGCTTTAGGTCCTTCCCCCAGTGCATGGTATATGCCACCACTGTGGGAGGGCTTGTGTACTTAGAAGATGCAAAAAGTAATAGTATGGGTGCCTCAAATAGAAAACAAAACTGCAACTTGATGTTTCAATGAAATCCTGCAGCAGCTTTCCACGCTTGTCCCATTAAAAATTGTGTTTACTTTAGGAAAGTCGTGTCGAGTTCCTGCACCTCGACTTGTTTTCAACACAGGGATAGAGGTTGGCTAGTACAACAAATTCACCCCACTGTCTACACCAGGGGCTCATCCGCACTGGCTCACACAGTTCAACGGCATTAGGTTGTCTGGCTGCACTTCAAAAAATGAAAAAAAGAAAGAAATGGGGGCGTGGAAATCGACTTCAGTGCCTCAAGGTCCTAAAGAAAGGGGGTACAAGTGAAAAGCTCTCAGTCCAGGGGCTGGGGGTCAGCTATGGGCATGGTGTGCAGCACCTCGTCCAGCAGCTGCAGGGCCCGATGGAGGTGGATCTCGATCCAGCATGGCGTCTCCTTAATACTCTGCCTGGGGTAGTCCGGACCCCAGCCCTTCACAAAGCTCATCCGCAAGATGCACAGCCTGCGCAGGTCATCCACACCAATGCCAGCAGCTGCAGATAAACCTGGAGACGAGTTTAACAGACTGTCATGCGTCATGGATGCATCAGCACGACCTACTTGCCAAGAGTGATTTTCCATCACCAAACATTTCAAAATGTTAAAGTGAAATTGAAATAAAAACTGACCTGTTAGTTTACGTCAATGGTCGAATTAAGCATGAGTCATCATGTAACACCATTAAGAAAATAAATAAATAAATAAAACTGAATTTTAATAACGTGATAATAATACTGACAAATAATATCATGTTGCATCTCCACCACCCACCAATCACTAAGCAAAAAGCTCAGCTAACTCAGAGACCCTCACTGATCTTGTGTTTCATTCAAAAACATGTCATGGTATAGATGAGTTATGACTTCCAATTTGCACACAATATTTTTTTGCAAGATAACTTGCCTCCTGCCTCACAGTTCACAGCAGAGATCAAAGCTGTAAACTGCGGAGATGAGAGAGGGCTGTACTCACTGATTGCGGGTGCGATCCCCCCTACAGATCCAGGTCCAGGGATGTTTCCGGCCACCGCTGCCGCCTGGGCCGCAGCCGCTGCTTGAGCTGTGGCTGCCTGCTGCTGCATCTGCCGGTGGCACTGTCGCAGGTCAAACACCTGCCGCGGACCAATGAGCAGATGAGACATGCAGTAGAACAGAGTGTACTGAAACCAAAACAACCCAAGGAGCAAAAATCAGGCTCACCTTGATATACGCACTCGGGTAGATCTTGTGAACAGCATCTCCAGGAGCGCGCCCGGCCTCTCTGTCCAAATAGTAGCTCTGTACGAAAACGGCGTGGTCACTCAGGCAGCGCACCCACACATCACCTTCACCTTTGCACTCCAGCTGGACACCCTTCCCAATGTGCAATCTGTGAGCCGATTAGAACAAGCAGTGAATGCGCAGTCCGTTATTTTAACGCAATTCAAAATGATAGAAGAAAATTATACCTTGCTCTCTCAATGGCTTCAGTTCTGTGCACGTTACTCAGCTGGCCCAGGCAAAAGCGGTCTCCGCCTGACGGGTCCACATACCCATCCACAGTCACGATGGGGCAGTTTGAGGGAACCTTAAAAGTCTCCCCGACCTGTACGTCCATTTCAAAATAGGCAATGGAGCACCAGTACTCAGGAGCTGGTGAAACACACACATATGAAAATATAGGCTTAATAAACAATGCTCAGACCTGCCAACCTTGGGAAAATAACGCTTATAACAAAACAAAACTTCGCTTAGCATACAGTCACCTTCCCATTCACCACCATATTAAGTTCGGTTGTTCAACAGGTCTCCCTCTGTCTGTGAGTGTCCTCCTCACTCATGCAAACACACACACCTCCCAGTAACTTTCTAGGTAATGCTATTTCTGCGGGACGTGCACTCGCTTTTTTTCATCCTGCCATGATCTGCTCATTATGGTTACGGGTTTGGCTGCAATAATAATTTAGAATACAGTACTGTGAAAAGCCACGTTTAATAAACAATATAATTTAACATTACTTCGCCAACTTAAATGCCTGGTGAACAAGCAAGCTAGCTTGCAAATTATGTAACTAGGCTAACGTAGGCTTACGCAATTAGGCTAACATTTTTAACATTAAACACTTCTCTGAGGTTGGCAGGTCTGTTTTAATTCATAGTTTCAACTTTCCACATCCACTCCAGTCCATTTATCCTTGAAAAGGAGTTGAAAGCAGTTGAATGGCTGTGTTCGAAACAGCTTACTATGTACTGCATACTGCATCAGTATATACACTGTATACTGTAGTATATAGTATCCGGTATATGACATAAGCCATGTGCCGTACTACAAGTAAGGGACGTGACAACATCAGGGACTGAGCCAATCAGACCTACATTTTCATTTCATTTTCATTACTCTCACCGTTGGTAACATAAGCTGGTTTGGCCGAATAATAAACGATGTGACTCCACACACGAGTCTGAAAAGCCTTTGCTAAGCATATTGTTCAGCTGAGTTTTATTCATGTTATGCAGAAAGTTAACTTTTAAATAGATAAAGTAAGCAAACCATCAGCGTTCTCTCACTATAATACTTAGCTTAACATAACACAACCATGGGAACTGCAACACAGTGATGAAATATGACTGCTCGTACAGCCACTAACATAGAGGCTAATAAATACAGACAAGAAATTTTACGTTTTAGCAGTAATGTTAGCTACCTGGATTCCTCCACTTCAAACTCACACTTGCTGAACTACGCAGCAAACAGCTCTTTCTGAAAAGAAAAAAAAACTCGAAGAATAAGACTTACCCGGGTGGTTGGAAATAGGTGGCTGAAATGCAATTTCATTGTGAACAGGCCCTGAGGGAGGAGAAAGGAAAAAGAACTGATAAATAAACAGATTTGGGATAGGACTCATTCGCCATAAGCTATCAGAGAGACAGACTCACAGTAGTGTCCTGGATGGTGCATGGGTGGATGGTGCTGGATATGGCCATTTTGAGGGTGAGGCACATTGGGTGTGAAATTGCTGTTCCTTGTCCAGGTGGAAGTGGCATCTAAGAGACGCAAGTAAAGTAAATGCAGGCCTTGAGCAAACCGAGGCAAAAAAAATCATCCAGCATTTGTGTGTTTACTGTGTCAACGAATGGCAACTCAATCTCAAAAAGAATGTATGATGAAAAGACAAGGAAGGGTGTGTACATAATGAACTGCAGAGAAATGGAGATAAGTAAGCAAGGCTGGTCTAGGAAATGCTGAAAAGCTTTCTGGTTCTGACAGCAAGGCCACGCGGTGCAGGGACACTGGGTCCGACAGAAGCTTACTGTGGTGGTAAGTGGAGGTCTGGCCAGGGGGGAAGCCATTCTGCTGTGTTCCCTGCCCTGTCCCTGAAGCAATCTGTAGCAGACCCTCACTGCTATGGCTCCCTGTGAGAAGACTATTGGAATGAGCTGAGGAAAGAGCAGGGAAAGGGTGGGTGTGGGAATGCACACAAACACATACACAGACACACACAAACCATTAACACATTACACCACCTCTCCTAATGAGAAAGCTTTTCAGCATGGCCTGAACATTCATGACATGATGAAAAGTAGACTAATAATGGAGCAAAATGACAGCCTACGTGAGAAATGTTGGTAATTAAGTCTCACTTGTAGATCCCACTGCAATACTTGAGAAGGCAGAAGTGGAGGCTGAGCTGCTGCCGTCTCCTGGAGGAAGCAGGGAAGGTGTGCTGAAGGCCTCCTGTGCCACAGGTCTAGAGGGAGGGTGCTGGATAGTCTGGATGTGGCCCTCAGAACTGGGTAAGGATGAAGGACAATCATAGTCGTACTCGTCTTTGACCATGAGGCCAGATGAACCTGGAGTGGTGAAATTAGGCATGGGTAGTATGGCAACATATAATAGTTAGTTACTGAGATAACTTACATCACAACATGTAACTACATGCTTTTCTGAGCATATTATGTATATGTAATACTTAAACAAACGACTGCATGTTTGATAACAATGAGAGCACAATTAGTTCTGCATAATTGGATTTGGTGAAGCACAGTGTGTGAAATGTTGAATATAAATCATTAATTACAGTCTTTGATAGTATTTTGTGAATGTGGCACCACTTTGTCTTTTCCAAATGATCAGATATCAGAAAAATATGTATCGTAACATATCGTGTATCGTAAAGTATCACAAAAGTATTACACTTTGCCAAATCACCCTCTATTATCAGTATTTCAGGAACAATGAACAGCTGCATGCATCCTGAAAAAACTGCCTTCTTTTACTCCTCCTGTTTCTTCTTAAATAGTTGTTTGTAAATGTTGCATTAAATAAAAACTATTTTTCAGTTATTTATTTATTTATTTAAACACACTGCAATAGTCTCTGTATTTTTATGTATTTCTATAAAAATCTATGTAAGGCACCCAATTAGATGAAAAAAACTCACCAGAACCCGACAGTGTAAGTCCAGACAGGTCTGCGAAGAAAAAAAAGGAACATTAGCTTGAATGAACAAAAAATGACACATGGTTATAAATGGTTAAACATGGTTATAAGCTGAAGTCTTTAACTGACCTATGCCTGCTGAGACCACTCGCTCATAGTGGTAAGGGTTCACACAAACGCTGTCACACTTCAGGTCAAAGGCAAACTGGCAGTATTTGACATGCTTGAGCTCGTTTTTGTGGAGGTCTGGCCATCGCCACAGTCGCGCATAGATCACATGAGGAAAACCTTTGCGTCCCGCCACCTGGAAACAACCGAGTTGGAGGAGAGAACTTGTAACCAAAACTTCAGAGCAACAAATGAAGAAAGTAAATTTAGGAGAAGAATTATGAGAAAGAACACAGACAGACTGAGATAAACAAGGGAAGAGGGAAGCTTTTATGGGCTGGTTAGAAATGTTACCTAATTTGCCACAATGGTATCATTGGCTTGAATATACAACAAAAGAAACCGCATCCAATCTCTCCTCTCCATGTCACATCACACATACAAAATATATATCGTTTAAAATTAATAACAACCTAAATTTAGACATTATGATAAAAACTGAGTTGTGCAATACAGCTCCTCATTAGGTTGAATGGGATTTTTGCTGTCCAACTTCACAAAAGCTGCCATAAAAGAATGCATTTGTAGACTGACGGGTCAATTATTCTGCCTCCATAGTAAACTTCAGTGATCATAGCTCTGATATACTCTGTTGTGCTTGTCGTGGGCCACTCCTCCTCACCTGCAGTCGACCATCCAGGGTGCGCTGGATTGTGACACACTTGCTGGGATGAGCTCCATTGGTAGTGATGGCGGTGATGAGCGAGTCAAGCTCGTCCTTCTTCTCCTTCAGCTTTTTCACCAGACTCTCGATGGCCCGCTTAGCGAAGGTCTCGCTCTCCCCACCCTGCCTGTGACACATCAGACTGTGCACGATGCTCAGGCAAGCGTCATTACTGGTCGGCGTGTTTGTGATCGACATGTTGACCAAACTCTGTTGTCTCCGCCTTCGTGGCTCTTCAAAACTGTTTCACTAGATGTTCAGGCAGAAGAAAGCATCAGTGTAATGTCCAGACAGTGACTCCTCACTCTGTAGCCTGAAAAAATTAACAGAGTTTAAGTCAGCAAAACCTAAAAGTCAACGGGAATCAGACATCATAACACATTTTCCTTCCACACTGCGACATATTTCCAAGAGAACCACAATATCAGGAAGGGTCTCTGTGCTAGCTGAGCATTGTTGCTCGGTTATAAGTGGGGATGGTGGGAAGAGGAGGTGAAACATGACGTTTCCGAGTCGAGCAACAATCTCTTCAGTTAGAGCTGCAACATTTATTCAATAATATTCAATGAATTTAAGAATGGAAAAGCCAACTGAATAACCGACAAGTCTTCCACAAACCTATACACATCAAATGTCGAAGTTTGTCAGTCACAGCATGCAGTTCCCAGCTTTGCACTTAACTACTTGGACAATGTGATTTGACACAGTGTGCGAGACTCTTGCAATCTGAAACGACAGTATCTGTCTTAACTTCAGGTGGCATTCTGTAAGTTGATTTAATACCAAGTTGCTTTATTACCGAGAATAAATGAAAGACTGCTAGCTAGCTGTGCACCAACAGGTCTTAAATAAGGTGGTCTTAATTGCTAAGTCAGTCATAACTAAGACCACTTTTCAGGGAGGATGCAGTAGGAAAAAATAGTCAATATAACATTTATTCAATATATTACTCAAATACTCCAAACGTTTAACACACAATATACATATACACTTTTGTTTTTTGGAAGATGAAGGTTAAAAAGATGCTGCTGTCCTAGTCCACTCACTTACCAGTGATGTTTTTTCCTTTCTTTATGGTATTTTCATGGTTTTATTGATACAAGTATTATAAGATATAGAGAATTTATAATTGGTGTAAAATAATATTATTGCTGATGTTGAAAGAAACAATAAGAGTAAAAAGAAAAAGATTTTCTATTCAGTTTCAAGTAAAACGTATCTTGAGCTTTTCTTATTTTTATAGAATATTCTAAAACAGCGATATCTGATAATCGCAGCCCTGCTTACAGAATTGGGTCTCTTAATATCATAAGACATGATGAATCACACTTAATATGACCAGGGACTTTCACGAAGGTCAACCAGAAATCAAAAAAGACTTAAAACAAGCACGCTGTTATTAAGATCCACCCAGCACCTTCATACTTCATGATACTTTGGCATAACACTATATATTAATCAATATATTATATTTATATATTTTTTGGTTAATATTCATAAGTTCGTGGAAAGCAGTGTGTAAAACTCGTGAAAAAAATAGCTTATCCTTTCTAAATTAAGTCAAACGCACCTCGTTTCGCACTTCTAACCCAAATTACAGGCACTGTAAAATATTACTGTACACTGTAAAGTTCACTGTTTCGTTAAACCGACAGGTTTAAAGGTGCGTGGAGGTAAAAGAGGACACTGACAGTGCAGGTTAAACTTTGTAAAAGAGACAAAAAAGGTACATTTACCTCAGAAAACAAAGTTTTGACACATTTTAACACAACATACGACTTTAAGAACTACAAAAAAACTAAGTTTTGAAGCATCATTTGTTCGCCGGTATCGTCGAGTCGGACGCTGTCAAATTCGGACAGGACCGTAACCTCAGCTAAGAGGAAGCTACGGAGACTGAAGAGCTGAACTAGAAGGTAACGTTAAAACGGACAAATGCATATAAAATATCTCCGAATTTATTTAATCTTACGGCTTTCCTCTCATATCCAACGCACAAGTCGACTTTCTGCTTCTTATTTCGCTAGAAAGTATAAAGTATAGGGTTAGCTTGTGTATGGTAGCAACGTTAGCTAACGTCATTAGCTACTTAGCCTGCTTGCCTTTTCCACACTAAACCGGCAGGCATGAACATAATATAGTCGGTTTTAAATGCTGTTTAAAAACAAGTTAAAAGTTGGATAAACGGCTTAGACACTCGGTGCTGATAATAAAGTTATAGAATGACAGTGAAGACTACAGTTAGGTAACGCAGCTGCGGGCTAACGTCTAGCTTATCTATCTTAGCCTTAGCTTAGCTCCGGATTACACAAACTCTGTGGACTCCGTTATGTAGCTGTTATAAGCTATTTGTCTCAAATATGTGAAGGGAATAAAATATCTTAAAATATGGAAACTTAATTACCTTGACAGCTCGTTGTTGTTTGAGTAACGAGCGAACCAGCCAGCTAGGACTCCAGCCTCGCTAGCCAGGCAGAGCCAGTCTGCTCAGTTCAGAGCAGGGCAGCAAACGCGCCGCTCAAACTTCAGCCCGAGTAGCTGTTCAGCGAGTTGTTCGCTGTTGGAGCCGCGGAAATATAAGGGGACATCAATTACATTCGTGCAACAGAACCACCGAAACGCGTAGAAAATCACAGAAAAACAAAGTTCAACGCAAAAGCGAATACGAGCGTTGCTTCCAACAAAAATAAACAGCGGAGCCTCGGTCCGGAGGCACCATCTTAACGCCCTGCAGCAGCTGCCCTGATTTCGTAGCGATATGGCGAACAACGCCTGCGCAGACAGAAAAGAAGAAACGGGCTGCGACCCAATCCGAGTACTTGTGCCCTAACCCTAGAACCCTACTCTAGAACACTACTTCTGGAATTCTGACACTGGATTCCGCTTTTTTAATGAAAAAAAAACTTACTACGGAGAATCCCATCGATTTTTCAAAAATTCTGTTTAATTAAATTGCTGAAATGTCAGAGACAGAGTCATTCAGAGTGGTTTGGTGTGAAATGGTTCATTGTTGAGACTCATTTCTTTACAGTGGTGCTGAGAGGAACCAGGGGTTGCCATGTCTACAACACAAATATAGTCATTTTATTTGCTATCCAAAACTACCAGTGAACCTACACATGTCTTCTGAGTTGTTATATGTAACGTTAGTGATGGTAAAATAGTGGCAAATCTGAAAAATTACGTTTTCTTTGGGGAAAATGTTGCCTCACAATGCATGTTCCTTTCCACCATGAATGGATTTTAAAAATACGTTTTAGAACCAAAAACTATCATAAAAAACAATGTCTCAGACATCCGGCTAAGTATTCTTTACCATTTCATGTAAAACTTTCCTGCGAGGGAGCTTTTACAGTTGGACGTCTGGTTCCCATCACCACCACTGTGAACAATTCTGTATCAATAAGTTTCTCTGTAACATAGCATTTTACACCAAACCACTCTGAATGACTTTCTTTACATCTCAAGCATTAAATTATGCAGAATCTTTGAAAAAATGCTGGAGTTATTAAGAATATTCCTAAATGCTGCTATAAATAGGCTCAGTTATTTGTAATGGAGTTTATCAATGTCATGTTTCTTTTTTACAGGTTGACGTAAACAACGTGAGACACATTTTGAATTTGGATTAAACATTATTTGCATTAACCAGTCATTCAGTTTAGTCTGCTCAGCATCTAGAACAGCAATAGCAAACAAGAATGAGAAGTGATGGTGGATGAAATACACAATATAAAAAAATCCTGTTTTGTTTGGTTTTAACAGTTATATTTTGTCATACTTGAAGCACAAACATATGAAACTGAAGCTCTATTAATTTATACATTATTTTCCTTGGAAAAGACAATGCTTGGAACAGTTGGAGAAAAAAGAGGAAGAGCAAAAAGATGAACGGACACAATCAGAGATGGTGTCCAGGAACCTGAATAGAATTGAATAAATAAATAAACATTAAAGAAATAAATTTTATAATACCCTAGGACAGACTCACGCATGGCAAGTGTGAGGATGTTCAGAGGTTAAGAAAATATGTAAGAACACTTTTTTCAAAAATACCGTTTGCTTTTATAATTGTACTTAATAGATAATTACAAATTAACTTCAAAGATACGAAGTTGAAGGAAAAACCTGGCCACCAACAGGTTCAGTCAACCTGAAATCCAAATTGGTTTGGATCACGTTGGCATACAGGGGCCCGCAATAACTGGGCCCCCTAAAATCAATATTCGACGATATGGACAGAGCCAGAATTCTGCACACTAGGATGTTAGAAAACAAGAGTGCAGATTGGAATGCTTCCAAAAACAAGCGGTAAGGCGATTGATGGCCACTAGATGGTACCCGTGTGGTCTTAAATGAAAAGGAGTCAGTGGTAACTACTGGAGGGGCAATGGCAGTGGGTCCCATGGCCCAGTTGTGGGCCAAAATCTACACAAACTATATCTGTTTATTTTCCTTTTATTCACAATGCATCTTATCCGTGCTAAACGTTTTCAAACGGATCCTTCACAACCTGCAACATGATATATTCATTGTTTATTACTTTTAAATCTCAAAACTAGTCTTATGTAAACATTTAGTTTGACATTAGATGCTAATGGGTGAGTGCATCATCTTGCTTGAGACATAACAATAGCAAGTAAACAAATTAGCAAATTAAATTGATTTCATATGTGGGAGTCCATTTTATTTTTTGCGCTACTGGAAAGACTGTAGGATGTGCTGATCTTGACGTACTCGTTTTGCCTGCATTTCCAGGCACTCCACCTTCATGTCCATGGGCGCTTTACATACCTTGCCTTGTCACAGTGTGCAAAGGCTTATGTGCAGACCATACGATCTCTGAAACTCTGCACTTCTCCAAACTAAAGAAATTAACCACCATTAACCATTGTTAAACCAGTGGTATGTGGAGAACTAAAAACAGTGCTTGGTTTCATAACATGAAATGTAACATTCTCGTGTGTTTTGTGGCAATTATTAAGATCTGAGTGTTTAGGTAATTCTATGAAAGAACAGAAGCTTTGAAGATAACTTACCATCATCTAAAAATACAGGTTTAAAGTTGATTCCAGCCGTCTTGAGTTTCACAATGATGTCTGGATTCAGCAGAGCTTCCGTATTTTCATGAACAGGAATAGAAAAACTTTCTAACAGCAGAACACTACACATCTTGTGTTTGTGTTTATTTCTGCAGAATCAATTTAGAAGCGTAAACCCTTCTAAAAATTCAAAGGGTTTATTTTGTTGATGCAACATATCATGGAGGCTTCAGAATGCCAAACATTTAGTGGCCTTAAAGCAGCAAGAAAAGGCTGAAAAGGCTTGGATTGTAAAATTCATGATAGCTAGCTATTAGACGAAGAAAGAGAGGTCTTTATTCGCCATTTGATTTGATAGGCAGGCCTATATTTTACATATGCCAACCATCAGCGCTCATATCCACATTCAGTGAAAAGAAGGGGTCAGAACATTGGGTCAGCCTTACTATAACACATTATTAAATGCCTAATTCAAGAGCGCAATGTCTGGCATGCAGAGTTGAATGGTGATGGGTGACTTTGGATGAAGTTGGGAGGTCAGGGTGTGGAAGGCAGGCCCAGTCGAGGTCAAAGATGAGGATTTAGAAGAGGAAGGGCCTGGAGGTGTGAGCATCAGTGAAAACGAATTGCTGGAGCTCAGGAATCTGACAGCTCTCTTTCCCAGCTGCACCCCACTTGGAATGAGGTCTCATCCTGAGTGATGGCCTGTAAGCTTCCCAGCTCTGACACCTCCTTATCATGGCTGTGTGGAAGAGAGTGTGGCAGTGGCATGCATGGCATGTGGCGCTTGGTGACCATGGAGGACCTTGGGCAGATTATGCCCATTCAGAGGAACTGGTGAGAGACAAGAACTTGAGGACCCATTCAGCTTTATTTCTCTGCGTAGTGCAGGTACACTCTTTGTGAAACTGCTTCAGACCTCACATCAACATCAAGACAATAAATTAATACCAATTATCAAGCAAGATACAATAACTCGAGATACCAATGACCCTCATTTTGGTGGATTGTTTGATCATTGGGAGTTTCCTTGATCAATTCTGGTTTTCTTCATTAAAGATGCTCAAGAACTTACTTTCTATGTACAATACTGTGCAAAAGTATTCAGTCAAAATTGCCATTGAGTAATTTTTTTTTACTTATTCAGCATCAGGAAATAAACAGAAAACATATATTTAACACAAAATAACACAATAAAAATGTAATATGACATTTTTCAGTGTTATTTTTTAGTGTGTTCACATGTTGCCTTTATCACAGCTTCCATTCTTTTTGGCAATTTGCTTTCATTTTTTCAAACAAATCTGAAGGATATTCTTCCGCACCTCCAAAATTCAGACTTAGAAGTTGGTTGCATTTTCTGCTTCTCACAATCAAAGTGATCCCAATCATAAATGTAGACTCATCAAACCTTACTCCACATCTTCAGTTTTCGGGGTTCTAGTGGAAATTTTCTTCTTTTTTGTCTGTTTTCTTTTTAAACATCTTCTTTTCAACTACGAATCCTTTTAGACCCATAGCATTGAGTTGTCTTCCTCAGGTGAAAGGATGGACAGAAGATCTGAAGCAATTTGATTTTCTCCTCTTTTGGTGATCTACCAGGACTTGCATGGTTGTTGGTGGTCTCATCATCCCATATTTTGAACTTTTTTTTTAAACTATTTGGAGACTCAGTCTTCCACTTATTTTCCTTTGGCTTTCTGCTTTCTAGGTGAATTACCCTGTTTCTAATGTCTTCAGAAATATCTCCTGAAAAACTAATAACTTGTACTTAAGGGCTGTTTTGACTGGAAATTGAATAAATTAAGGGTGCTCTTTGACTTTTGCACAGTACTGTAAGTGTTCATAAATTTGAAGGTTGGGCAAAGAATTCAATGGCTTTAGTAGAAATAATCAAATTCTTTGGAGTGTAATGTGCACAATTTCCAAATTTATTGTAGTCGTACTACTATATTACTTGTATCTAGTAGACCTATTGACTACTGAAATGTCAGTGCCTTAACTGTATATGTCCTAGAAAAAGAGCATCTTGATTATATCAGGTTTTTCTGCTGTGACCTTTCTGCAATTTGGCTAAAATATTTGTATTAATTGTTGCACTACTGCTACTTTTAAGTCTGTTTTGTACTGCATTGCTGTATTTAAACTTTAGTTAATACAGTGTACAGTACCTTCCAAATATATTTGTCAAGTAAAAGGTTTAAATCTATAATATTTCAACAGGAGACTGACAGGCCTTGAGCAATTGGTAATCCAAATTCATGTAGGTGGAGGATGTTGGTATCTTGAGATTTGTTTTCACTTATTATGATAAACTAATGGTCAGGCACAGGAAAGCAATGTGTTCTAGCTTATTATACAATAGAAAAAGCACTAATTTACAAATAGCAGATCCATTGCATTCCATTCATTCCATGATAGTGTTTGGATATTTCATATAGCAGCATGCTACTGTGCTACTTCATGTCTTTTTTATTATACTTTTACTTAGAGTTGCTAGATAACTTGTTAATGATCACACAAAGGCAACATCATTGTTTATAAAGGCATGATGTTCTTCTGATATGCATCATTCGCTTGACCTTATCTTATCACTTGATCTCAGCTTTGATTCAGGAGAGAGTTCATGTGTCTTTGTTTGTGAAACTATCTGCAACCACACTCTGCCACAACCATACCCTCATATTTGTGCTGGAAAATAACGTGGC